TATTTAACTAGTGAGTTCCTATTTAAAAACTAAAGGTGGTTGGGGGTGGGACAGGAAGAACATCATGGACTATAGTGGAGGACTAGGGGAGCCTGGATGGTGAGAAAGCTGGGGTGACCACATCTATGGAAAGAACTCCTATACTGTCAAAAAATTAACAAGATGGAAAATAATGTTAATTCTTTTAAAAAAATTAAAAATTATTGAAGGAGTCATAGAGACATTTTCAGATTATCAAAAACTTTGAGAATTCCTCACTAGCATATCGTACTAAAATATGTAAGAAAAGATATACATGTTGAAAAGGAAGGGAAAATTAAAAATTGTACATTGAATAAATTTAAGGACATATTACCTGCCAAAAAAGGTTTCAAATATATGCCAGTAAACAAAAGCATGAATAAGATTAGAATATGTGAGCCTTAACAGTAGTATATGAAATGGAGTTGACAAAAGGCTTTAAGGTTTCTATCATGCCAGCATTGTATAGAGAATAGTAAAATGATTAGATTTTATAAGTAAATCAACAATGAATTCTGTGATGTCAAAGGCTGTGCACTCCGATCAAATATTCTGTGATGCCAAAAATAAGTTTGTCTCTACATTCTAATACATGGTGTCTATTAGCCACACATACCCATAATCCACTTGAAATGCAGCCACTGTGGCTGAGACTGAGTATTTAAATTGAATTACTGTAAGTTGAACTTTATTTATGTAACTACTGGTGACTCCATTGGATATTATGGCTACAGGCAACCCTCAAATGAATCATAAAATAATTGTGCATCAACCCAGAATACTAAATGAAAGACTATTTAAAAAATCTTGCTTGACCTCAATATATATTTTGAAATAGTGAACTTTGAAGTTAATAAAGCTCAAGCAGGATTTTCCTTTGTTTGTTTTTTCCTCAGTGCCTTTTCATTTTCAAATTTATGTTTCATTGTATTGAAGGAAATCTATTTTAAGTAGAAAATTGATATATAGCTCAGTCTGATATACTAGTCATAAGTAAGGCTATTTATGCCATTCTATTGTTAATTTGCATATTGAATACATTCAAATTTCTACCTCTATATTTAGTATTTGGTTGTTATGTGACCCATTTCCTTGCTCTTATATTTCCTATAATGCTTTAGGGAGTAGTTTATATGCTACAAGTTTACTCATTATTTTTCAATCTTTTAAGTCTTTTCCATTTTTCTGGAGATTTTCATAATTTTCCTATAACTGTTTACGTCTACCTATAAGTTCAGAAGCACAAACTATTCAGTGTTTTGATTAAAGGATATTTACATAAAATTCATCTATATTGCAGTTCTCTCTTAATTCCTATCATTGCAGATTTCCTTATAAGCTTATTGTCTTTCAATCTGGAGAAAACCTTTCAGTATTCATTTTAGTTCACTTTTCCTGATATAGATGCTCTTTAAAAGAAAACATTGGGGGGCTCGCCCTGGTGGCACAACTGGCTAAAGCACTGCATTATGAAGCTCTCTGAAGCCACTGCAGCACAAGTTCGATTCCCGGCCAGGGAGGTGACCGACATGGCGTGGCAGACCTCTCTGACCCACCCACTGCTCCCCTCAACAGTGTATTTTGTCAATCTGCCTGTTCTGCTTCCCACTCTGTCTCTGGTGAATCTTCTCATCCACCACACCTCTGGCCTGTACCCCAGTTCTGTAAGCATAAATAAATAAAAAAAAGAAAACATTTGGATTGTTATAGTGGGAAAATTATCTCAGGTAAGGAGAATAAAGGGAAATAAGTTGTAAATGAGGAAGAAAATGAATAAAAAGATCTGAAGAGAAAAGCTCCAGGAGGTGCTACTTGGTGGGGGATGGAGCACCCCTGGTGAGTGGATAACGGAGATGACGAGAGGGACAGGGCACACACACAGGTCCGAGGCTATGTGGACACTCCACCTGGTTTTATCTGAATTACAGAGACTGAAAACACACAACATCACTAGTTATCTCCTCTGATCTCGGGAGAACTGCTCCCCCATTTCCTTGGAGTGTGTGAGGCTCCACGAACCCCATTGTCACCAAACGCCAACGATGCTCAAATTCATCTTATAAAATGGCACAGTATTTGCATGTAACTCACATATCTGCTCCCATAGGCTTTCTATCATCTCGATATTGCTAGAAATATTTAATACAATGTAAACTTTCTCATCTAGGGAATAATGAAGGTGAAAATAGATCTTTTTATGCTCCATATATACACATATATTCTAGCCCAAAATTTAGTACACGTTTTGATCTGAGGTTGACTGAAATCACAGTATGGACTGGGTGTCTGACTGCATTTCACTCTGAGATTTTTCAGATGCATAAGTTAGTATCCACAGAAATTCTGTTGGAAGTTATACTTCTTTCATCATTTCGCTCTAAACACTTGCACTGATTCAGCATTTCTTCCATTCATCCTATGTTTTCTTTCCAATGTGTTTGAGAAGCAATATTTAGCAATATAAAATATAATGTCTGGCATGTAAAATTATTTAAGAAAAGGAATCAACTTTGAAAAGAACATACCTGCGGAAGAATCATTCTTTCTTTTCCGATGACATAGAAATAAGTGACTTCATCTTCATCTCTGCCTTCGTGCTGAGCAACACCAGCTGATATATCTGCAAATACACAAGGAGTCTTGGCAGATGAGTGAGGAGGATCCTTCCAACTTGTGATTAGGTGGTGTTAATGGAATGTAGTCTCAACATCTGTGACACTGGTGGAGTCCACTGAATTAGAGCTATAACAACTCGATGAATTCACTGTCAAAAATGAGATGCTCATAAGAATACACCTGCAATTACAGAAAACATTACTGACTTACACATATGCGGATGAGGTGCCCACGTGCCAGGACAGGGCCTGTAACGCAGGACACTCCCTCACTGACAGTATATAAATGCTCCAGTCCAAGAGGTGACATTAAACCTCAGGATCTTCTCAGTGCAACTCAACTGAACCTACATCTCCTGTGAACATGTCCAACAACTGCTGCTCTAGAAACTTCTCCAGCTCTGAAAACTTCTACTCCACCTCCATTGGGGGCACTAGGAACTACCCTGCCTCCTCCTGTGGCTCTTCCTTCCCCAACATCGTGGTCTACAGCTCTGACGTGGCCTCTCCCAGCACCACCCAGCTGGGCTCTCCTCTCTCCATTGGCTGCCAGGAGACCTGCTGTGAGCCCTCCAGCTGCCGGGTGTCTCCTGTGGTGTCCAGCCCCTGCCAGGCTTCCTGCTTCCGGCCTAGGCTCCTTGCTTCCGGCAGCCCGTGCCTGCCTTCCTGCTTCCGCCCCAGGCTCTCCTTGCTTTCTAGCCCCTGCGGGGTGCCCTGCTCCAGCCCCAAGCCCACTACTGTCTGTAGCCCCTGTGGCTTGACTTACTCTGGAAATCAGGGCATTGGCTCCAGCAGCAGCTGCTCCCAGGTGTATCAATCTAGTAGCTCCTACTCAGCCGGGTGTGGGACCAGTAGCTTCAGACCCTTGGCGTGTGGGGTCCCTGGGTTCCCCTCTCTGAGCCTTGGCTCTGGAGTCTGCCGCCCAGTCTCCCTGACTTCCGGCACCTGCCAGTCGCCTTGTTAAGCAGTCACGTGTGGATCTGACTTTTCTGTTCACCTAATAAATTGTCAAGAGTTATTGCTCGTATGTTTGTCTTTCTTTATAACCTTAATATTTCAATCATTTACAGTTATTCTCTGAAATCTGATTATCATATTCTCATGTTGTCTCTCAGCCCAAATACAACTTGACAGACTTTATCTGAAAAATTCTATAGTAAATTTAAAAGGTCAAATTGCTGGCTAAAAAAAAAAAATGCCTTGAATAAGGGAATAATTATGATTATATTCTCCCCAAATGGGGAAAGTTATGTCATTTTAATATAATAAATGTTCCAATTGTGATATCTTCGTGATTTTATTTGGTGTTATGTCAATGACTAGACATTAGGTTGTGATAGGGAAAATGAATATTTTGTGATTGATGATATGTTTACAAATTATATTGCATACCCACGTGGTTCATGACTTGAATTTTTTGGAGAGCTCCAATAGTTTAATTACTCAAAATCTAATGTAAAACAATTACACAAATGTGTTGATTTCATAATGAAGGGTGAGATGAGAATCAAATGTGGGCTTCATGCACAGCTGTGTATGGAGGAGCAGAATTTGGACAGCTCTACCAGGGATTCAGACAGCAAAAACTACATTTAGAGATGCAGTGTTAAGGTAAAACCTGATGGAAAAATGAATAGAGGTTCAGTTGGACCTGAAAGCAAATAAAAGTAGACAGTGTAAGTGATCCTGTATAATTTTAAGTGTCTTTACTTGATATCACCATCTCTGTGGCTAAAAGTCATCAAATTCCTGAATCTCTGGATGAGTCTTCAGTCTCTGATCCTCTTACCCTCACATTTGCAATGATGAATTACATAAAACTTGAATCACGTTTCTAAGATCACAAAACTTATACTTCACCTTGGCTTTGGTCATGTCTCACACAAATAAAATAATATAAAAAGATTTTAATATCATTGTAATGATGATTTAATGCGCACCTCTGCAAAAGTGGATAAGAAATGAGGAGGGAACAGCCCTGGAAAGGGCAAACTGTGGTCTATGACTATGGTAATTTGGTGGAGGGTGTGGTAAGTCATTTGCATCTGAGGTGCTGGGCACCTGTCTCTTTAAATCATATATAGGGCAATAAACCAGTGTTCTCTCAAGTAAATATAAATACAAATAAAGACACACACAATTAGAGACTATTTGATTACTGAATGGAGTATATTCAAATAAAAATAAAGAAAGAAATACTTGGTGGGGGGCCTCCCTGGTGGCACAGGGGTTAAAGACAGCATTATAAAGCCTGTGTCAGCCACTGCAGCATGAGTTTAATCCCCAGCTAGAGAGCTGACCCACAGATGGCACAGCAGACCTCTCCTGTCTCACCCTCTGCTCCCCTCAGCAGTGCATTTTGGTGAATCTGCCTGTTGAGCTCCCCACACTGTCTCTGGTGAATCCCCTCACACACCCCCACCTCAGGTTTACATCCCAGTTCTTGTATATGTAAATGAATAAATCTTAAAAAAAAAATACATACACACACACACACACACATATATATATATACACATACATACACACACACACACATATATATATAATGTATATGGGGATTCAGAATCTGTAGAGCTTGAAGAACATGGAAATGCCACACATAGTTGCAACTGGAGATTCTGAGTGTGTCAGTATGTGTGGGACATGCATGGGTAGAAGATTCTGTGTGTGTCAGTGTGTGTGGGACATGGGTAGAGGACAGACAGGTGCATATTCAATGAAAAATTAACAGCCATTAAATTGTCAAATATTAACAAATCCAATAGAAATTATATTATGGAAAAATGTATTGAGAATTTTTTCCAATCAAACAACATCTACCTTAAAAATCTAGAACTACTAAAAGTCCACATATATAAATTTAACAAAGATCCATTTCTGGACTAGGAGCAGTTAGCCTTAAGAACACAAAAGCAAAAAAGTAAAATTATAAAGCAAGCATAGGAAAGAAAATAGAATGTACCATCAAGAAGTACTAGTGAGGTTGATGACAGAATTTTAAATAGTTAAAAGGAAGGAATGAAAAATTAAAAATAGAAAATTTCAGAAGAAAAAAAAGTAAACTTGATTATTTGCCTAGTGAGTTTGTGATTTGAAGGAGAGGAGTTAGTTTCTCTGAAGGAGAACTAGGAAGGGAGGGAAGGGCCAGTGGACCATGGTGGGGTCTGTAGGTTCTGTGGGGTGGGAGAGCGATAGTGAACACGCCTGGGTAGGGAAATCTGATGGACACACACAAATAACACAAATAATGGTGGGAAACCATGGAGCATCATTAAAAATTTAAAAAAATATTGAAGGGTAAGTAGAGACATTTTCAGGTAACGAAAATCTTTCAAAATTTCTTCCTAGTGTATAACACCAAGATATATAATACAAGATAGTAGATAGGTAGGTAAATAGATAGATAGATAGATAGACAGACAGACAGATAGAAGATATAGATAGGTAGATGATAGATAGAAAGAAGACAGATTAGATAGATAGAAAGAAGATAGGTAAGTAGATAGTTAGATTGATAGATGATAGACATTCAAAAACCTCAGTGATTCCAGAAAAGAGAATAAAACAAAACAGAAGACCTAAATAGAAAATTAAAATGTGTACACTTAGTAAATCAAGGAAATGTTGTCTAAATGTCAAAAAAGTGGGTACAGCTATGTGTCAATAAAGATAAAGTCAGACACAGCTAAAAGACAATTAGAGACTGTTGAGTGGTATGTAGTCAAACTAAAAGAAAAATATTTACTGTGAAATCAAAGATTATGAATGTGGAGAACATGGAAATGATAAACATAGTTACAACTGGAGTACACAAATAAGATTTCATGTGTTTAAGTCCCTCATTGCATAGGAAATAGTAAAATGTTTACTTTTATTAGCAAATCGTCAATGCATTTTGATATCAAAGGCTGTGCAGTCTGTGGAACGTTCTCTGATGCTGACGATGTGTCTGTGCATTCCACTGTGTCATGTCCATCAGCCACCTGTGCCCAGTGACTGCTTGAGTTGCAGCTACTGTGCAGAAGAACTTAGAATTTATATTCATTGAAATTACTGCAGGTTGAAAGTTATGTATATGACCAGTGATGACTCTTTGGGATGCTATGTCTACAGGAGAACTCAAATGAATCATAAAAGAATGTGTGTCACCCCAGAACACTAACTGAAAGACAATTCAAAAAATCTTGCTTGACCTTTAATGGAAACTAAGAAATAGCAAACGTAGACGTTAGCGAAGCCCAGGCTGAGTTTTTTGTTGTTGTTGTAGTTTCTTCCTCTGATACATCTTTTTAATTTGCAACCTTCATTTTATTATATTTAAAAAAAAAAAAAA